AAGAATAAAAAGTACTTTAATTTATATTATTTATCATTATTTTAATTTTTGAGACCTTAAGTTGTTGTGGGCGATGGTACAAAGGATTTTTAGCCTTTTTTAGCCAATTGCCGTTCATATGGACCACACCACAATAAAACACAATAATACTTGTCAACTATTATGCCACATCATCACACAGTGTGGTTTAAACGTATATTCACAACGGTAGGGGAAAATAGGGCAAAGAAAAATTAATTCACCTTTGTAACTGCTTGAAAGGAAACCCTAGGACAATATACTATAAATACCAATGCTCTCCAGCTCTTTCCCGCACCAAAAGCCTACAACTTCATGTAGCTAGCCCCATTCTCGCATTTATCCACTTCAAAACATTTTCACATACAAAAGAAAAATGTCAACCCAACCCTCGGCAGTTCCTACCTCTCCTCAAAATTCAACTTGCAAAGATAGCCGTTCTACATCTGGTTATCATCCTTGCATTTGGAGGGATCATTTTCTCAAGCATTCCTTCAACTTCATGGTAATTAATCATATTATAAAATTCCTAAATCAACACTCTTGTAAAAGTTTTGGGTTAAGCAACACTTTTATAAAAATTATAGTTTTAGAAAGAAAAACTCTTTAATTTCAAAAGTTGCCTGGATGAGGGTGTTTGCTTATATGTATGATTGTTTATGGTTTTTTTTTTTTTTTTGGGGGGGGGGGGGAGCCAAGATGCATGAGGTGATTGTTTGGGTTATGCGCATGTTGGCATCATATCACCAAATGAAAGTTTTGTTTTAATTACCTACGTACTGCAATTTCTTGGTCCACATACTCTTTTCACTACTTCTTAGCATCACTACACTATTTTTCAGAAAAGTTTACCAAGACGGAGCACAAAATTGAATTTCTGTGGTGCATACTTAAGGTTTTGTTTTTGAAATACACGTGCAGAAAATTGATGCCAAAACTCAACAAGAATATGAAGAACTGAAGCAACAAGTAAGGAGAACGTTGCTAGATGATGCCACCTTTGATCCTTCAAAGAAACTTTGTTTGATTGATGCAGTACAACGCTTAGGCATTTCTTACCATTTTGAGACTGAAATCGAAAATGCCTTGGAGAAGATATATCTTGGTGGTGCTGATAGTATTGAATCTAATTTGTATATTGTTGCTCTTTGGTTTCGGTTACTTAGACAACAAGGGATCAAAGTTTCATCTGGTCAATTCTTATCCTAATCTTTGAAAGATATATAATAGATATCTATTGTAAGATTGTTTTTATGAGTTAATAATGAAATGATTTAATTAGTTGAACTGAAGGTGCTCACGTTGTTGATATGTAGAGATGTTCAAGAAATTCATGGATGAGGAAGGAAATTTCAAGGAAGATTTAGTGAATGATGTGCTTGGAATGTTGAATCTATATGAGGCTGCACATCTTTGTGTGCATGGAGAAGATATCTTGGATGAAGCCATTGCATTCACTACCTCACACCTTGAATTGATGGCAACAAAAGTAAGCCCTTTGCTTGCAGAACAAATAGCTCATGCCTTGAATCGCCCCATCCAAAAAAGCTTACCAAGAGTAGAAGCAAGGCATTACATATCTTTGTACTCAAGAGATGATCATTTCATCTCCTCTAATGCAGCACTGCTTAAATTTGCAAAGATTGATTTCAATGTGCTACAAGCGTGCCACCTAAAGGAGCTGAGTGGCATTATGGAGTAAGTTTTTTGTTTTGTTTTTTTTTTTTCTTTTTTTCCTTTCTGCAATAAATAAACTTGTAATGGTGGAGACATATTGTCTTAGGCTTTTGAATTTGGCTTGGTATTTTAGGTGGAGGAAAAAATTGGATTTGTATACAACAAAGATGCTTTATGCAAGGGACAGAGCGTTGGAGTGCTACTTTTGGACATTGGGAGTTTACTTCGAGCCTAAATACTCCTTAGGAAGGACCTTTTTGACTAAAGTAGTAAGCTTGACATCTATTTTGGATGATACTTATGACAACTATGGGACAATTGAAGAACTCGATCTCTTGACCAAGTGTACTGAAAGGTTACACTCTTAATTTTAATGACTATTTTAATCAAATTGTTTGAATATATTCACATATTTCGAAAATGTAATTTATAATTTTGATCTATAACTTTTAGGTGGGACATTGATGTCATAAATCAACTTCCAGAATATATGAAATTGATTTATGAGGAACTTTTAAACGTTTATAGTGAAATGGAAGTGGAAGTTGAAAAAGAAGGAAGATCATATGCTGTGGATTATGCAAAAGAGTTCGTAAGTAACTAATTCATATATGACTGGATTAATTCAGGTTATGTAGACTTTGAATTATTTATTAATTTCATGTGTAAATTAATTTCATGAATAGATGAAACGAGTAGTGAAAGGTTACTTTGATGAAGCCAAGTGGTGCCAAGAAGGCTTCATTCCACCCCTGGAAGAGTATATGCAGACAGCCCTCATAACTTGTGGATATCCAATGCTCATAACAAATTCCCTTGTTGGCATGGGAGAAATTGCATCCAAAGAAGCCTTTGATTGGATCTCTAATGACCCTAAAATGGTTAAAGCTTGTGCAATTATATGTAGACTCATGGATGATATTGTCTCGCATGAGGTACGCTCTACCTAGGTATAGTTAATTTTTCTTGATTAATTTTATGTAATTCATCCTATATAAAAGCTGTCGGTAGGACTATAAATGATTTCATAGATTTATATTGACATGTAAAAATTTATGCAGTTCGAGCAATCACGAGTTCATGTTGCATCCGCTATTGAATGCTATATGAAGCAATATGGTGTTTCAAAGGAAGAGACAGTGAAAGTTTTTCGAGAAGAAATTGACAATGCATGGAAAGATGTCAATGAAGAGTTCATGAAACCAACAGCTCTTCCTATGCCTATCCTGACTCGAGTTCTCAACTTTGCTCGGGTCATGGATGTCATATACAAGGATGATGATGGCTATGCAAACTCTCACATTATAAAGGACCAAATTGCTTTGCTGCTCGTGGATCCTGTTCTCATGTGAAAGAGTGTTGATCCCCGTACCGCCTTTGGAATTAAAGTAAAACTAGTGATTGTTTTGCCCACCATAAAAAAGTGGCTTTAATTTTATTTCTGTCTTTCAATAAAAGATACGCATCCTTAATTAGCTGTCCTAGTAGTAAGTTTGAACCAAACACGTGGCTGAGACCATGATTCGAATCCTCTTGTAGTGATTCCTGTGCTCCCAATTTTCATTGTCCCAAAAAAAATAGAAGATCTTATAATGTCTTAATTCTCTTTGTAGGAAGATGCCATCAAAATTCTTCAAATTTCTCTGAGTAAAAATTGCATGCAAGACAGGCAAATAGAAAGCACTCTGATTAGCAAAGAAACCATTAAGTGGAATGTAGGAGAAGTTCTCGTGTATCTGAGTAATTTTGTTGGCATCTTCCTACACTGTCGTATTTGCAGGAAGATGCCGACAAAATACTTGAAGTGCTTCTGAGTAAAACTGCATGCAAGAAAGTCTAATCTGGACCAAAACAAACAACGAAAAATTCACAGTCAAATCTGCCTAGCCGTTAACTTGGGATGTGATTTATGCAAATGAATTCCAGGAATTCATTGAAATAATGAGCCTAGTGTGGAAGGCTATTTGGTTTTTGGATTTGCAGCCAAAAATAAGTTACAAAACTCTAAGCGAAAACTAAGTACTCAGATTGTAGGTTGATATCTTATGAATTATTAGACAAAATTTTAACTCAATCTACCCATGAACTTTTATAAATTGAACAAAATGACAAAACTGCATACTAAACCTGCTGAAATTCTCTTGTCTTCTCCCATCTTTTTTATACTGTCAGCTCCACTTTCACATCCTTACTACCATCCAAAAAACAGGCCCCCTTTTTTGTGTTTGACGGGCTACTAAATCATTAGTTTAATGTGGGCTTACTCCACCATACTTTCATTTCTTCACATAATAGAGATAGGCGTAACCCAACCATAGGTTGGTAAGTTAATATATGAGTATATCTCCTTTTATTAAAAAAAAAAAAAAGGGAAGTTAGGCGTGTCATACCCTTTTGAGAAGTACTTTTTTTTTTTTAATGGAATTTTGAGAAGGATATTGACCGCACCTTTGAACAAAATTAATTACATAATATCCCACGATGAATATGATAACCTCTATACTGTTTCCCTGAAGTTTTGTCAGCTTCAGCAACTTGGTTATGGAATTTCATGCCGCAATAATCCTTCCACGAACTTTGTTTCCCACTTCTTAGTTGATGTAGTTAGAATTAGGATTCAACTCTGCAATGATATTCTCATTGACCTGTCCGTATATATGTTTTCATGCCGACAAGAGAAAAGTGAGAAAGTTAAGTTGAATGCACCGGTATTACAATTTGAAAGAAAACTCAGCTAGTATACATAGGAAGGCACGTAAATTATAACTTTTTTGAGAAAGCATGAGAGAGAGAGGTAGAGAGAGAGGCAGGGATTCAGGTATCAGGCACCGCTCGAGGACAAGACGGATAGCACTGGGAAGAGAGTGGATTAGCAACCATGAGAGAAATCGACAGGTGAGGATACGAGATGTGCAGCAACAGAGCTGGGATAGAAACAGGAAGGGCTCCGACGAACGGGGATACAACAGAGGGATATACAAGCAAGCCACAAGCTTCTTCTTCACAAATATTCCGGATGATTGGAGCTACAACGACATGTGGAGCACATTTGGCAAGTATGGGTAGATAATCTCTATTTACAGTCCACAGAGAAGGAGTAGGAGTGGAGGCAGGTTCGGTTTTGTTAGATTTTTGGAAGTAAGGAATGTTATGGAGCTGGAGAGTCAACTAGATCAGATCAGGATTGAGGGGCGAAAGATATGGGTAAATCTAGCTAAGTATCCAGAGGAGAGAGGCAAAAAGGAAAAGGTTAGAATGGAGATCAACGATTACAAAGTTTCCCAGGGGAAATCATATGCAGATGTTGTAAGAGGAGAACAAGGAGGAGATCCAAGAAAAACTAGAGATCACATGCCAGCAACGAGTCTGAAGTTTGAACCCCATAGGCAACCGAAACAGAGACAGGAATGGAAAATGAAAAATAGAGAAGAAGAGTGGTCGGGTATGGAGTATATAGTAAAAGAGGAAGATTTTGAGTGGCTAAAGGGATGTTATGTAGGCATAGCTCGTTCAGTGGAGATTGTTCCGATTCTGCAGGAGAGATTCTACATGGAAAAATACTTTTCATGTAATCTTAGAGCTATGGGGGGAAAAATGGTCCTTATGGAATGTGAGGACAAAGAAGAGCTTAAAGACTTAGTGCAGCACGCATCTGATTGGCTTGGTCAGTGGTTCTCAGAAGTAACACAGTGGTCTCCTTCAATGGTGGCAAAAGAGAGGTTCGTCTGGATAAGATGCCAAGGTGCACCTTTACATGCTTGGGGCCCAAAGTTTTTTGAATCCATGGCATCAGTTTGGGGCAAATTCATTAGCTTGGACGACAGTACCAGCAAGAGAAGAAGATTTGACATTTCCAGGTTCCTCATCTCTACAACAAAGATGGAGGCAATCTCAGTAAAAAGAAAGATTAAAGTGAATGGAGCAATGTATGAGCTAAAATTCACAGAAGAAGAACTGACGAACAGCCTTTTCTCTCTAAAATATGATTTCATGCCAAGTTTCAATAGCGACCAAGAGGATGGTGAATCATGGTCTGAAGACACCGATTATGATGAGGATGGTGACGAGATAAGCAAGGAAGCAGATAAAGAGACAATCGCCGATGGAAAAGAGGTGGCCGGAGATAACATAGAGTATGAAGAAAGAGGAAGTAGGTTGGTTGTAGCTCCTATACCCGAGGAAAAATTTGAATTGGATGGAACAGGTAATGATGAGACACAGCTCTACAAGGGTGACAGTCCAGTCCAAAGCAGGGTGGGTGAGGAAGAGACGGTAGAAGTGGTAGCAGACAGCTTTGACATGGAAATAGAAGGAGATGACGTCGATGGCAGAGAAAAAGTTGGAGAGTGTGAAGCTGAATTTGAAAAAGGGAGGCAAATGAGTTTAGGCCTATTAGCAAGCTCAGGAAGAGGCGTAACGGGCCTACAACCTCAACCCAACCCAAAAACATTGGGCCAGTAGAATAGAGCGGTGGAACCGAGAGGAAAAGAAGCATGGGTCTGTGAAAAAGGCCAGGGAATTTTTCAACTAGGAGAACACTCTAGGCCCGAGGTTGAAACACAAAAGGAGACCACACAATGTAAAGCAAATCATGGGAAATTAAAGTGTATTCTGGAAAACAGCAGCTCTTTTTGGGAGGGTCTTGGAAGTGAAGATGGGAGTGAGAAGGAGTGGATGAGAGTGATGCCGAAGCAGAGCAAGCAGAAAAGAAAGAAAAAAGTAAAGGCGTGTAGTGTGATATACAAAAGATCACTCCCTTTAGAAGTCAGGAATCATAAGAAGAAAGGCAGAGGCAGATCTGGGTCGAGTCAAGCAGAGGAGGAGGAAACTTCAAAGGGCTGCCAGAGCACAAGCATCTCAGTGGCAGGGGGATCGGTGGGGGATAGTGGCATCCAAAATTGCAACAGAAGGTGGAACAAGGTCCCCAACAAACGAATCGCAGCTGAATTGTGGAATTTTGTAAAGAGGATCGGGGCGATAACAGAGGAAGAGGAGTCGGTCATCAGGAAGCTAGAGGAGATGGAGAAAAGGGATAGAGCATCAAAAGAGGAAGAAAACGCAAGAAGAGCAAGTGAAGTACAGAAGGTTAGTGAAGTAGTTAAATGAATATTCTATCCTACAATATTAGAGGGTTGGGGGGAGTGGGAAAGATAAGAGCCATTAGAGAGCTGGTGAATAAAGAAAGGGTAGATTTCCTGGCAATACAGGAAACCAAGAAGTGCGGGTTAGATAAGAATTATTGTAAAAGGCTATGGCACTCAGATGACTTTGAATGGGTGGGGAAGGATTCTGTTGGAAGGTCAGGAGGGCTGTTGTGTGTATGGAATGCTAAAGCCATCACTGTGAAGCACGTTTGGGAAGGAGAGAATTTTATTGGTATCCAAGGGGTGTGGATTGCAGAGAACGTTGTGGTGAATGTTGTCAATGTTTATTCCCCATGCCAACTTGCTAGAAAAAGAATCTTATGGCTGGAGTTAAAAAATTTAATTCTGCAAACAGGAGGAATGTGGTGTGTCGTGGGAGACTTTAACGCAGTCCGGAATGTTGAGGAGAAGATAGGGAGCAGTAGATTAACTACAGAGATAGGGGAGTTTAACAACTTCATTACAGATTCGGGTCTGATTGATATTCCGTTAGTGGGTAGAAAATTCACATGGTACCAAACAGGGGGCAAATTCATGAGTAGAGTTGATAGAGCACTGTTGTCAGAGGAATGGTTATCCAGGTGGGGGGAAGCTACACAATGGGGGTTGAGTAGAACAGTCTTTGATCACTGCCCTATCTTGCTTAGACATAAGAAAGTGAATTGGGGACCCAAGCCGTTCAGATTCTTTGATATATGGCTTGAGCAAAAAGAGTGCAGGGAGCTGATAAGACAAGCATGGAAACAAGCAAATATCCGAGGATGGGCTGGGTTTCAACTTAAGGAAAAGCTGAAGATCACCAAGGAAGCACTGAAGAAGTGGAGCAAAATCTTTGTTCCCGAAATTGACATCAGAATAAGAGAGGCCACAGCACAGATTGAGCAGTTAGATCTGAAAGAGGAGTCGGAGCAGCTAGCAGATGAGGAGATTGATAGAAGAAGACAGGCTTTGCTAGATCTATGGAACAATATAAGATACAAGGAGAGTATGCTATAACAAAAATCTAGAAAAGCATGGTTATCAAAAGGGGATGAGAACACAGTTTTTTCATAGCTGTGTGAAGGGGAGGTGGTAGAGGAATGAAATGAATAGCCTACAAATAAAAGGAACTTAGTATACGGAAGCTAGAAGTATGAAAGAGGAGATTGCTAGCTTTTTTCAGAACATGTTTGCGGAAGAACAGTGGAAGAGGCCAACTTTAGAAGGAGTAGAATTCAAGAGAATCTCTGCAGAAGAAAACAAATCCCTCACTTCACCATTCTCCGAAGAAGAGATTAAGACTGCGGTATGGGACTGTGAAAGCTCTAAGGCACCAGGGCCGAATGGATTCAACTTCAAATTCATCAAAAGTGAATGGGAGACAATCAAAGGGGATGTCATCGGGTTCCTAGAGGAATTCCAGAGAAATGGCAAGTTGGTGAAAGGTCTTAATTCATCCTTCATTGTGCTGGTGCCAAAGGTAGAAAACCCCCAGAAAATCGAAGAATACAGACCTATCTCGCTTATAGGGGCAGTATATAAAATTCTTGCCAAATCTCTGGCCAATCGTCTTAAGAATGTGCTGACAGGGGTAGTGGGTGAACATCAAATGGCATTTATAAGCGGAAGACAATTGATGGATGAGGTCATGATAGCAAACGAGGTTGTGGAGGAAACAAAAAAGAAGAAGAAGAAAGCCATTATGCTCAAGATTGACTTTGAGAAAGCTTACGACAAGGTTAGCTGGAGCTTCTTGGATTTTATGCAGCAGAAGATGGGATTTTCTACTAAGTGGAGGAAATGGGCTATGGAGTGCCTGAAATCCAGCATGGTGTCGGTACTAGTCAATGGCAGTCCTACAAGGCAATTCTCGGTCTTGAGAGGCTTGCGGCAAGGAGATCCACTGTCACCTTTCCTATTTCTAATCATTGCAGAAGGGTTCAATGGGATAGCTTCAACAGCAATACAAAATGGGTTATTGAAAGGTGTGGAAATAGGACATGGAAGATTCAAGGTCTCACACCTACAATATGCAGATGACACACTCTTGTTTGGTGAAGCTACTGAGGAGAATGTCTGGGCCATGAAGGATATTATGAGAACATTTGAGCTGGTGTCGGGGTTAAAGATCAATTTTAACAAAAGCCTAATCATTGGCATTGGGGTAGAGGAAGAGTGGCTTGACAAAATGGCATGGATTATGTGCTGCAAAAAAGGGAATATGCCTTTCAAATACTTGGGAATCCCCATCGGAGGTAGCTGTAGAAAGATCTCCTTTTGGAAGCCGCTAGTGGAGGTATTCCACAAGAAATTAACATCATGGAAGGGTCGGTTCTTATCTCTTGCCGGTCGGATCACTCTCATTAACTCAGTGCTGTCCAGTCTCCCCGTGTTTTAGATGTCGATGTACTTGATCCCGAAAGGTACAATTCTATCCCTTGATAAAATTCATAGAAGATTTTTGTGGGGTGGGGCTGAGGGAGGTAAGAAAATAAATTGGGTCAAATGGGATTCGGTTTGCAAGGATAAAGAACTAGGGGGATTAGGGGTAAAGAACCTTAGGAAATTTAATTTGGCACTGTTAGGCAAATGGTGGGGCAGATTAGTGAGTAAGGAAGAAGGGCTTTGGAAAAAAGTGATCGCAGAAAAATATGGGAAAGTGGGAGAGCCTAGCTATAATTCGCTGAGGGAGAATATTGGCTATGGATCAACTTGGTGGAGGGACATTTGTAGATTAAACAATATTGAGTGCAAGCATGAGGGGTGGTTAGCGGAGGGGTTCAAAATCAGAGTGGGAGACGGGAGTAGCATAAAATTATGGTGGGATGAATGGTGTGGGGAAGGTCAACTGGCAAATAGATTCCCTAGACTTTATTTATTATCTGCAGGAAAGGATTTCAAAGTTTCACAGTCGGGAGGGTGGCTCAACGGAACATGGATTTGGCACCTGGAATGGAGAAGAGGACTGCATAGCTGGGAAGAACAAGAAGTATCAGAGCTCATGAAAATGATCAACGACATTACAATCACAAGAGGAAAAGAAGATAGATGGGAGTGGAGTCATAGCAAAGATGGAGATTATTCTTCAAAGTCAGCCTACCAAGCGCTCATGAGGGAGCATGGAATGGAACAACAACAGTCGGCTCTCCACAAAGTCTAGAACAAAATTGTGCCAAACAAAATTTCAGCATTTTCATGGCAAGTGCTACAGGATAAAGTACCTACAAAGATCAATTTAATCAAAAGGGGGATAACTCACGGCATAGAGGATGACAGATGTGAATTATGCGGTAGCCAATTAGAGGAAGCTAGCCACCTTTTCATCCACTGCAGCATTGCCCACAACCTTTAGAATGCATGCTTCAGATGGTGGGGGGTAAAATCAGCTCTGGACAAAGATTGCTTAAAGGTATTCCATCAACACTCATCAGTAATCAAAATGGCGGGGAAAAAAGAAGGCTAGAGCTGCATTTGGTTTGCTGTTGTATGGTCACTATGGTTAGCTAGAAATGAAAGGATTTTTAGAGGCAAAGAGGTGGATGAGAACAGACTCCTCGAACTTGTCCAGCTAAGAGCCTTTAGTTGGATAAAAGGTAGATCGAAAAGCTGCACCTTCTCACTATCAGATTGGCTTCAGAATCCATCAGCTTGCATTAAGAACTAGCGCAGCAGGGAGAAAAGGTATGTAAATACTGGTAATGATGGAAGGGATTGATTTTCTACAAAATGGAAGCATAGGACGATATCTTCTTTCTGCTAGTTCAAGTTCATTCTTTCTTCGGGGCATAGAATATTGCATCAACTAGAAAGACAGAGGTTGAACTAGTACTTGATAGGATATTATGAGGTTTTGATCTTTTTCAGAGGTCGGAAGGATTTTGGTATTCTGACTTGCTGAATCCTGTATCTAACAGGTTGGAATACCCCTAGTATTCCAAAATTTATAAATATTTTGCTTTTAAAAAAAAAATTAGGATTCAACTCTTTGTTTGTATATTGGTTCAAAGGATAAGCTTGGAAGATAATGAATAGCATTTAGATAGAATTGAAATGGGCAAGTTAACATTTCTATTTGTCTAGAAGAAAAAAAAAACGCTATTTAACTTTTTTTTTTAGAGTGTTTGTGGTAAATTTTAATTATTTAAATTTAAAAATTGAGAAAAATGTACTTTAAAAAAAAAAAATCAGATCTTAAATTAAAACTTAATAATTTAAAATAAAAACACATATTATCCTTAGGTTTTTATTATGAGGAGTGCTAGGGGCACTTGCCTTCTGCACTCTCTGGCCAGCACTTTCACTTTTATTGGGCCACATTATTCTTGTCAGCGAGTGGTTGCACTACAAAGTCTGAAACAAGTTTACGTGGCCCAATGAAAAGGGAAGTGTTAGTCGGAGAGTGCAAGGGGTGAGTGCCCCTAGCACTGCTCTTTTATTATTAGTTTTTGAAGAATTTTGGGTTTCAAAATCAAACTTCTTCCCACCATCCTTTGAAGAAAATTGCAATTTCTCTTGATTTAAGAATTTGATAGCAAAATCCAAGGTAATATTTCTTCCAAGTTTCCTACAACCTAAGGCAATCCTATCATTTTAACCTTACTAGTTGGTGTTTATTGTTGATGTTTTTTTTTTTTTTTTTTAATTTAGTGCTCTTTAAGCTTCCTCTTTATTGATGTTAACATTATAATGTTTTAGCTCTTTTATTAATTCAATGCTCAGGATTTTCAATTTTTCAGTGGAACCTATAAATAGTTTTACTTCTTCCTATTTAGGGGCACTCAACTTCGGTTGTAGTCCTTTAGAAATTTTGTAAAACTTCACTAATTAACTATTGTTGCATTTGCCAATTTAAGGGACATATTTTGGTTTCATTTGATTTTTCAGGTGCTGATGGACAAGCTTCAAATGAAATGCTTATTGGAGCTCCTTATTTAGTGGTTATACTAATGGTTTCAGTGTTTACTGTAGAGGATTCAATAATTTTAATTTTGTTTGTCTTCTAAGCGAACATTTGAACTCTTATTCAATTATTATACCTATTGGCCATTGGACTATTGCTTGTGAAAGAAATGACTTTCGTTTGCATTCTTGGAGGTTCAGAAATCAGCATATGCATCCTCTGAATTGTTTAATAAAGCATGGGTTTGATCTTATGATAGACGAAATAATGAAACATCAATAATTGTTTATCAAAGTTTAGTACTACCAACAAGAGTTAGGCTAAGTTGATATTTATTAATTTTAGAATTTTGATTTTAAGTTATGGTTAGAAGTGTAAACTTAAAAATAATCTAAGTTTTTTACCTTATTTTGCCTGGGAGGGGCTACTGTCCAATAGTTGTGGCCGGCCATCAGTTATGTTTTTTTATTGAACAATAATTGATACATTTTCAATTCAACATATTGTATAATACACTCTGATTCAACCATTAAAATTTATATTTGAAAATTTTCCTTTTATGAATTCAAATTTGAAAATAATAATTTTTTAATAATTGTGTTGAAAAGTGTGTTGAAATAGAAAGTATATTAATCATTTTCCTTTTTTCATTTTGCTCATGTGAGGCATCAAGCAAATGCAATGGCCCATTAGCTGGCTAAATCTGATTTTTAAATGAGTGTAAGAAACCCTGTTAGGAAAGAAGGACTCAGGATGAAAAAAGGGAAATTATTGACGCTGAACGTTCTTTTCATGTTGACACCACAAGCTATGTGTCGACACCATAAACGTGCAGGCCCTTTTAGCAATTTTTAATGGTAAATAACAAATATTGTCCTCCAACTTTTATAGAATGAGTACTTTAATTCATAACTTGAGATTCATTCATTTAGGTCCCAAAAAGGAACCTTTGTTCTCACCATTCAGTCCTTTAACTTTTAAAAGATATTTAATTAATTTCAAAAACTTCTATTATTATGCATTCAAGTCTTTGTTAAAAAAATAAAAACTATGTAACATCTATTGAAAATCATATATTATCCTTACAAATAATAATACAATTAAGATAAATATAATAGATTATAGCATATAAAATGCTTCTCAGCACTACTATTGCTTTTTATTAATTTTTTTCGTTCGAAATTTAGTTGTTTTAATTTGATTTTTTTGATAAAATTTTAAGCAAAATATTTTATAAAATAAATAGTTGAATAATAATTAAAATTTTTTTTCTTCTCATACATAAATTTTGTTGAGTATTTTTACTTAAATATGATAATTTTATAATTATCATTAATTTATTATATAAAATAATTAATTTAATTTATATAAAATTAAGAAAGTAATACAACTAAAAATAAAAGACTAAAAAAAGTAAAATATAATACAAATATTGTTTGAGAAAAAAAATTCTAATATAGTCTCTGCTTATATTAATTTCTATGTATGAATACCTCCCATAAAAAAAAAAAAAAAACCTGTAACCTACTTTTATTTGTTTGCCTTTCCAATTTGTAGCTATATTTTTATTATAAATTTAGATCTCTTTAGCTAGGTTCTCCATTTGTTTCATCTTTGATGTCCCTTATAATGAGTTTTCTTTTTAGTTTCAATCAAAGAAATGAAAATTTTTAAGAGTTTAATTGTAAAATCTAGAAAGGTTGAGTGATGAAACAAGAAATTAAAAATGTGACATTAGGAGCCTATTTGGATGAATTTAAAATATGAGGATTAAAATGTAAATAAAATATTATTAGGGACTAAAATTGTTATTTAACAATTAAAGAAATTGATTAAATTGTATTAAATCTACTAAAAAAATAATAATTTATGTTTTTTTTTAGAAATGTTAATTTTATAATGCTGATTTTTATCTATAAGAAATTATGAATTTCTACATTTCACAAATTATGGATTATATTAGTTAAAAAAAAAAGGAACCTTTTATTCTTGTGATACTTGAGCGTTTCCGTTACCAAATTTACATACGATGGAATTTGTTTATTTGTGATAAATTTTTTGTTAGTCATAAATATTCGCTTAATTTATAGTGACTAATATTGTTATTAGTAATTTATTTATTTTTTAAGTTCAATTATGAATTAATTGTGACAAAAATTTTTGTTACATTTGATAATTTTCTTTAGTAACAACTCGTATATTGTCGCAAAATATATTTATTACAAATTATTATTTTAGTCACAAGAAAAATATAGTATTTGTGACAAAAATTTATCGTTTGTAACTAATATTTTACAAGTAACTAATAATTATTTTATTGTAACGATTTTAGCAGTTACAAATTTAAATAATCTATTATGACAAATTTTTTGTAACCGAATATAATTTTTGTATCGAAATTATATCTTATAATTTTAAAAATTAATATTAATGATTATTATCTTAAATTAGTCACTAATATACAAATATTAGTGATCAACTGCAAATTAACCATAATTTTCGATCACAAAAAACTCATTTTCATGTGGTGTATTATGCCATGGAAAAGGAGAACTCTTGGTTGGAGTGTTTTTATTCTTAACGAGACATAAAGTAATTTCAATTCATTTTTCAAAGGACTTTAGTTGTACATGCAAGAAATAGGCTAATTCCACAGTTTTTTGCCTAATTTCTCATGGAATAAAATTCTCATCAGGGCGAGTCAAGTGAACGGCCCTTGTCCTCTAATTTCCATAAAAAGGACACGATGAGCATAAATACCTTTTTTAACTTCTATTACGAAGGACTGGATATCTTTAATAAAGAATTATAATTGTGCACCACAAATAGGAACTAATAAAGAGACCTGCAATCCCATAGAAAGACATCACGATTCCTTGTGGAAAAAAAGAAAAAAAAAAAAAAACAATTTGCTGAGTTGAAAATAAAAATATCAAATTCCTACCAAGATAATTCGAAGTTTCAACCAATAAAAATCCTAATAGACCTGCAATCCCATAGAAAGACATCACGATTCCTTGTGGAAAAAAAGAAAAAAAAAAAAAAAACAATTTGCTGAGTTGAAAATAAAAATATCAAATTCCTACCAAGATAATTCGAAGTTTCAACCAATAAAAATCCTAATAAACCTAGAAAGGATAAAGGACCAGCAAATTTTCTAACCATATAGGCCTTTAATGGAAAGCAGATAGGCAGGTCGTTGATGGAAATAACTTTGGGGAGATACTTTTGATAGTGACGTGGTTGTGGTATACTGTGAAAAGACAAAATTGCTGGAGTTTTATTTTAGCGTTGAGAGGCAGTTGTTGGCCCGCATTTTTTTTTTCTTTTCCCTTTAAGTTAGCTGTTGGCTTTTATATGGCTATTATTATTTAAAGAAATTTTTTATTTTGTATTTTTAAGATATAAGATAAAAATGTGATAAATATTTTTTTAATTAATGTAAAAAAAAATAATTGAAAATTAATTAATTGATTAATTAAAATTATTCACATAATAATAATATTAAAATAAAAATTAATTTTTATTATTTTTTATATAAATTAATTATAAAAAATACATTTATTACATGTATCTTAAAACAAACCCTTTATTAAAAGTAATTGAATAATTTTTTTTCATCGATGGATATCTATCGGTGGATAATTATTAAGAATATGAAGAGTTACAAAATGAAATAGCTATAAAAGTTAGTCGTTTAAATTAAATATTTTTTATATTATTTAGTTTCTTATTTATATCAATATACCCTTAATATTATTTCTAAAATATCTGCTAACAACTCTACCTAACCAATCTACCCATTGCGCCAAAATACTGTTCTGAATTCCCTGAAAAAATCAATAATCAAATCCCAACTGTTCCGAATTTAAGCAGAAATCAAATCTTTGTTCTCTCAAAATTCCCTTCAAATCCGAAGCTGTTCTGTTTTTCTTACATTTTTTTGTTACTTTATTTTAACTAGAAAATTTTTAGCTTTTTATTTCTATTACCTTATTTTTGTTTTTGCTTGAAGTTAAGAAGAAAATGTGATATTATTTATTTATTTATTATAAATTATAAGATTGTCAATTATTAATTATCAATTATCAGGTATCAACCATCAACCATTAACCATCAACCATCGATTATCCAAACAACAAAATGGTTTCTTTTTTCAACTTTTCTTGAGTTTATCTATTATATAAAGTGCTTCTGCTGACCTATTTATGTACTGTAAAAAGATGAGAGAGAGAGGAAGAGAGAGAGTGCGAGCAAGCGGATATCGTTCACGGGCTGGACGGTCATCACAGGGTAATGAGAAAGAGAGATATCGAGGAAGAAGTCGGCAACAGAGGATCTCATCAGTTGGTAAGAGACGAACGACGATTGATTATGTGCAGGATAAGAAGTCTCAGTTTGGTGGAGCCTATAACAAAGGCCTGTACAACCAAGCTACACCATTCTTCTTCACAAACTTCCCCGAAGAATGGAGCTATGCAGAAATGTGGAGGACTTTCTCACAATTTGGAAGGGTTTATGCTATATATAGTCCGAGAAGGAGGAACAGGAACGGTAATAGATTTGGCTTTGTGCGTTTTCTGGATGTCAAAGACAAAAAGGAGCTGGAAAGGAAACTTGATCAGATCTGGGTTGGGGACCGTAAACTGTGGGTGAACATTCCACATTTTGATGCTTTGCAAAAAAAGGAGATGGAGCGTAGAAATCCCCAAGGAGAGGACCTGAGAATTCCTCTAAATCCTTGCCCAAACATACAAGGAAGAAGCTTTGCTGATGTGGTAAAAGGGTCGCGAGGCATAGATAGTAGAATGGTTTGGCAAGAAAAAGGACCAGGGGAGAACTGGCAAGGCATGGAGTATAAGGTAAATTCTGAAGATAGTGCATGGCTTAAGGGAACTTATGTGGGGTCGGTCCACTCTGTTGAGATGGTCAGGAATCTACAGGAGAAATTCTTTGTCACGCCCCAGAACCCAAATCTGAGGCGCGACAGACGCCGTGCACTCGTGAGACGGGTCCCACAAATGCACAAGGCTCGAAACTTACTCAACAAAATCAGTTTTGATACCATAAAATTTCCAATTAAAATCTAACTTACAAGAGTGTGGTGTACATGTATCTAAAATCTATGTCAAATCTCAAGTGGCTAGCCTTTTATCACGTCACTCCCCTTGATTTTCGAGTCTCGGGGCACACTACCTGAAATGGTAGACGAGAAAAACGAGGTGAGATAACTCAGTAAGTAAAATATGGATTGCCCTTAATTAAACTTATAGCATGCCAACATATGCAATCACGAAAAACGGATACAGTACGGGCACGAAATAGACGTCTCCTCTATAGGTCATGGCCAGCGTTTATAAACCTCCCACTGGCGGGCACACGAGTACTAGTGTATAATCCCCACTAGTAGGGCCACGAGCGAACCGGTTCTATCACAAACATGT